AGGGTTCCAAGTAGTACATCAACAGGCCCAGATAGCATTCCAATTATGCTGATAAGGAAATTAGGTCCGAAGTCTTAGCAGGCTTTGAGAGAGGCAGTGAGCAAAATAATAATCGATGGTGAAGTTCCCTATGGATGGAAACTTAGCAGGATGAGCATGATTTATAAAGGAAAGGGGGACAAAGATGACATAAACAACTACCGTCCTATAACAGTGACATCAGTGGTCTACAGGCTGGCGATGCAGATTATAAAGGAAATACTGCAGGCATGGATAGAGGATGAGGGGGTGCTGGGGGAACTGCAGAACGGGTTTCGGAAACACAGGAGGTTGGAAGACAATCTGTTCTCACTGACACAGTGCATCGAAATAGCAGAAAAGGAACTCAGCCTTCTGTGGCTAGCATTTTTGGATATCAAGGGAGCGTACGATAGCGTGGTTCAAGAGGACTTGTGGGGAATACTAGACACACTGGGTGTGGAAGATGGAGTCACTAATCTTTTAAGGTAAATCTATAAAAGTATCAAGGTAGTTATAAAGTGGGAAAACAGATATCCAAGCCCACAGAGGTGAAACGGGGACTTAGGCAGGGGTGTCCACTGTCACCCTTGTTATTCATGATGTACCTACAAGGATTAGAGGCCAAATTAGAGGCAAGTCGACTTGGCTTCAACCTCTCTTTAGTCAAACAAGGAAAACTCATTGATCAGGCACTACCAGCATTAGTGTACGCAGACGATATAGTGCTAATGGCCGACAACAAGGAAGATTTGCAGAGATTGATGGACATCTGCGGTAATGAGGGAGATAGGTTAGATTTTAGATTCAGTAGGGAAAAATCAGCAGTCATGATTTTTAATGATAACGAAGGTAGTGAGCTTAGAATACAGGAAGTCACGCTAGGGATAACAGATAAATACAAATATCTGGGCGTATGGATAAGCGATGGGGCCGAGTACCTAGGGAACACGAAATATACGTGACGACTAAAGGTAACAGGAATGCAGCGGTAATGAAAAACAGGGCACTGTGGAATTACAATAGGTATGATGTTGTGAGAGGAATATGGAAAGGGGTCCTGGTTCCGGCTGACGTTCGGCAATGCGGTCTTGTGCATGAGATCAGAAGTTCAAGCAAGATTAGAAATTAAGCAACGTGGAATAGGTAGGCTTGCTTTAGGAGCTCACGGGAATACACCAAATCAGGGTGTGCAAGGTGATATGGGATGGACATCATTTGAGGGCAGGGAAGCTAGCAGCAAGACAAAATTTGAGAAGCGATTGAGAGAAATGGGGGAGGAGCGTTGGGCTAAGAAGGTTTTCAGCTACTTGTACATGAAGAATGTCGATACAAAATGGAGGAAGCGAACCAGGAAATTGACTGGTAAATACTTAGAAAACAGCAGGTGGCCAAACCAAAAAGAACTATCGGTTAAGAAGAAAATGAAGGAAACGGAGACTGACATGTGGAGACTTGGCATGATTAAGAAGCCGGCACTAGAGATCTATCGAACTTTTAAGCAGGAAATCGCCAAGGAAAGGATCTATCATAATACTCGGGGTAGTTCTCTATATACTGTTTGAGGGCAGGACGGGAGTATTGCGAACCAAGACATACCGGGCCAAATACGAAGGGGTAAACACAGTATGCAGTGCGTGTGGAGAGGAAGAAGAAACTGCCGAACACTTGATAATGTTCTGTAAAGGGCTTCACCCTATAGTTCAGGATGATGGCGCAAAGTTTTTCTAAGCACTGGGGTTTAGAGACAGAAAGGGCAAAATAGACTTTAAGTGGGTAGACTAAACTAGAAGGAGGTTATCTGATTGGTGGCTAAAGTCAAGGCACGAGTGAAAATTAAACCCTTCACTGCAAAGTACGAATCATCAACCTCACTATTCAAAGGAAAAAAAGATAAATCTAATGGTTAGTTCACTAAGTATTACGGCTAGGTGGCGTTAGCCGCCCGATATAAAGGGTACGGCCACATTCATCCATCCATCCATGCATGCATGTAACCTTCAACTTATAAGCAACAGAGGGCGCAGTGGTTATTGTAGATGTGATGGCGCTGCTGTAAACGCTTAATATATATAACCACGTTCCATACCACACATTCTCTTCTCTCATACGGACGAAGACGAACGCAGTAAAGCGCGACTTGCTGAGTATCAGCATCGCCGTCGACGGGAAGCTACCGCGGAGACAAAAGAGAAGGAAGCGGATGCAAAGCGGCGACGGTGACAACAAGGGGGGGGGGGGATAAACAACAAGAGGGAAGGCAGGGAGGTTGACCAGGCACATGCCCGGTTTGCTACCCTACGCTGGGGGAATAGGAAGGGGGCATAAAGATGAGAGAGAGAGAGAGGAAAGAGAAGAGAAAGAGAGAGAGAGAAAAAACAAAAAAAGGAGGATTGTCAGTCAATCGGCTGGCACGTATGCAGTGGTGGCACTACGCAAAAGTTAAAGGTGGTCACGTAGGCCTGTAGTCCTCAAAAAGCACAAGACAGCTTTGACTGCTTTTTGATTTGAGCCGACGAAAGGCGATGACGGTGTTCCAGTAGCATCTGCACAGAGAGTTGCCGATCATCCAATTGTCGCAATGCGTCCGAAAGTTTCTGTCTTTCAGAGGCAAATCGAGGGCAATGACATATCAGATGGTCGATGTCCTCTTTGGTGCAGCAGACGTCGCATTCCGCATTGTCGGTCAATCCGATGAGGGTTCTATATGCTTTTGTGAAGGCAACCCCCAACCAAAGGCGACAAAGAAGTGAAGCTTCACGTCGACGAAGTCCGGATGGAGGTCGAAGTTCCAGTCGAGGGTTTATTTGGTATAGTCTCGTATGTCTTATGCTTGGGGTGTTCCACTCCTGCAGACTCAGACTACGTGCCAGGTGACGAAGTCGCTTTGCAGCGTCAGTCCTTGACAAAGGAATGGGAAGGGTGTGCTCTTCTTGGTGCGATGTGCGAGCCGCGTTGTCTGCGGAATCATTGCCACTGATCCCACAATGGTCAGGAAGCCACTGAAACTTGACCTCGTGGCCTGTTTGTGTGACGTGGTGAACAAGCTTGACAACTTCGTAAGTTAATTGTTTATGGCAACCTCGTCGAAGGACTTACTGCATGCTCTGTAGGCCTGGTTTTGAGTCGGAAAACACAGCCCATTTACTCGGTCTTTGGGATTTGATGTACTCTAGGGCGCCACGCAAAGCCGCAAAGTTCTACACCACAGACTAGGGCTAAGGAAGCAAAGGCTAAGCGGGAAAAACGCCAAGCTGACGCGCAGTTGAGACAACTTGAAGCGGATGCAAGGTGGCAATACCGTCAAGAAAATTTTACACCAGAGACGATAGCTAATGAAGCTGTGATTATGAAGTCAAAACGTAGCCCGTAACTCGGAACCTCATATCACCTATAAAGAAGAATCACCGCTATATCACAATCGGTCTCAGCACTATCTCTTTGAATAAAAAAATATATAAGTATCACAACCACAATCAGTCTCAGTACTATCTCAACTTTAATCACCATAATCACCTCCGAAAGCTTCGCCCCATGATTATCATCAAGCAGCTTGAAATGCAGTGATTTTATTTTCTTCCTTTTGCTTGGAAAACAACCTTGCAGGAAAGCCACCTTATAGATTTCCGACAATGGTCAATTCGAATAAAAAGATGTTTCCTCTATAGGGAAGCAAGATATGCCGACGTAACTGCAGGTATAATCTACGACGTAAGTAAAGAAAGGGTCATACTAAGTAAGCCTAATAAAAGTGAGAATAAAGTTGTGAGAGTGAACAAATCTGAAGTTTTACGTTCCAAAGCCACGATACGATTATGAGAGACGCCATAGTGGAGGGTTGCAGAAAATTTCGATGATATTTCGTTCTTTAACGTCCCGCAATACACGGGCTTCCATGGGAATGCGAAAAGCGCGGCTGAGATCAAACCGGTGACCTTCAGGCCATGACCACTGCTCCATCGCGTCGGACGCGAGAACGAATCCCATGTTCCCCTTCGTCGTGCTCCTCTTGTCCAAATCAGTTTCGGATCTTTCTTTCGTCTTGACACAGACGTCTCCATAAAGCGCAACTGGTAATTCCTACAGTGTTACGAGCGTGTCAGAAGGGTGAATGCAAGGCTCGCAGCGCAGACGAAGGTCTTCTCCATTCGAATATACACGCCACCCTAGCAAATGTGCAAGCCAAGCATCGCGTAGCCGTGCGAGATGCATCTGTCTCAGTGTTCAGCGCCTGAACGCCACACGCTTCGCCTTTCTCCTCTCCTCGCTCGTGCGAAGCAGCTTCAGCTCGTAGCCTACATGCGTATTCCGGGAGCCCCCACCCCTCCAGCGCGGTCTCCCTCACTCATTTGCAAAACTGTTGCGGGTGGCGATTGTGTGTCTGTTCACACCGGACAGGGAAAGCAACGGAGGCGAGCGGCAAGTGATGGAGGTCGGCGCCGGAGGGGTCCGGCGTCAGTAGTCCCGCATTAGGCTATGTGTGGCTCCTCCCACATGGTCCGGTCCTGGGACGTCCCGTTGCCGGTTCCGGGACGAATCGCGACCAAGCGGCGGGCGCGGGGAGGGGGAGACGCAGCCCCCCCCCCACCCCACATCTCTCACCTCCGTGGAAACGGGTCCCCTGGAGCCCCGCACATCGCAGGCGGAAGAGGGGACAAGCACGCTACGGCCGAACAGAGACGGGAAGGGTGCTTTGGTTGTGGACCCCTACGCCCTCTCTTTCCTGGCTTCCAGCATCCCTCACTGACTCCGTTCTTTCGTGAACCACACTGGAGAAGCATGCGGTTCATTGAATGAATCTGCGCCAGGCGGCGTACAACGGCCGTGGTCTTTTGCCGGCCAAGAGGAGGTGCTTGCCCGCTGTTTGTGCCCGTTCCGTTTGCGTGCTTCTGGTTGTGGCGCTGGTTGTGGTGGTCACTCGAGCAGCTCGGCCCGAGTGGGACACTTTGGCTGCGGGGGACGACCTCCGCGACTCTGCATAGCGTGACTCGCCCACAAAGCCGACGCTGGAGCTGGCCCTGGAGCTGAACGCGGCGATGGCCGGGACGCTGAACATTCGGCCGCTCTACTCCGCGTACCCTTTTCAAGGTGAATGGTCCACCCGTTTCTAATGCGCGCCGCTGCGTAAATGAAGAAGCGTAATTAAATTGCATTAGGCAACTAGCCTAGAACGTAGCTCTATAGCTCTGCTATTATCATGTGCAAGTTTAATTCTAGCTGTCTACCTAGATAAGCTTAATGCCTGCGAATGGGAAATTCGTGACGTCGTCAGTGCGTTGTCGTGAGGGCCGAATAAGAAAAAGAAACCTCTTTGCTGTAGGTGTTTGCATTGACGCCGCTTAAACCACTACGTTGGGGCACCAGCGTGGGAGAACGCGACGTTTGCGACGCAACATCAATGTTATCAAAACACCATATGCAGGTGCTTTCGTTATTGCCGTACGTAAGCGTTCTTGCCGCGTCATTATCGCACTGCAACAATTTTACCGCAGCTTGTTTGTCGTCGAAACCGCCATCATGGAGTGCCAGTACATTCAGAGCCTGCATGCATGGACGCCACGTGCAAGCCATCTCTGATTTCTTGTCGGGTAGCTGCAAATCGTAGCCGCAATTACATTCGGCGTCGTGTAAACGAAAAACAAAAGATCGGGAATTACACAATCACGCGGGTGGCTTCCGGAAACTGCCGGCCCACATCACTAAGTGGCAGGCACATATCTCCATGACGTCATGACCTGGAGCATGTTATGGGCCATAAGATGGCTGAACAGCACGAGTTCGAGCTCGCGAGGCTGACAAGCGGTGGAGACGGTATTGCGGTATGAAGCAGAGATGGCTGCTAAACCATCACATGTAGCACGTCTACTACATCATTTGTTATTTGCGCATATGCTTATATACAGTGTCGTGAAATGGCCGCTACAGTGAGCAACAACTTACGTTATGCGTGTTTTCACCTATAGGTCTCAGTTTACGATAAGGTATACTTGGACATCCAACAGAACGGCGGACCTTATTATCGGTTCTCTTTTACAATCATGGAGCGTCAGCATAATTTAGTATCTTCTGTCGGAGAAGGTCGCTATCCTTTATCATTCAGGACTTTTTGATGCAGTAAAATGGTTTAGCCGTCGCATGAAGCAATAAAAAAATAGGAAATATTCTCATCGGGTGTTGGAGAATACAAGCGGACGCAAAGGTGCCTATGTAACCAAGGCATATACCTTCCGCATCCATCCAAATTTTCTCTATACAGCCGATTGCTATTAAACAATGTAAATAACTATCTTAAAGACTTTGGTAAGCACTATTATTTGTAATCCGCATGTATTCGTCAGTGATACTTGTAGATTTACATGTCCAAATCTAGCCCTCTGCCATATTTGTTCGACGTATACCTCCTCCCCCATTTCGTTCCGCTTTATGGGACTAATTACGCGAAGAAAGGTTGGTTATCTCTGTCCTGCTCTGTCCTAGCTCTCGGCTCTATCTTCATTCTGGAAAACGTTTTCTGCGCACTAAGGAAGTATATTTCTTTCAAAAATGCAATACCAACGAGCCCAAGTAGCCACTATGTTGGTTATACTGTCGTAACGACGCATGGCATTGCACATTGTCAACAGTGTTCGAGCAACGAATTTCACAAGAGTCAAAATTTTGAAACGACGTCTTGAACTCGCCATCATTAAAAAAAAATCTTTCAATTTAGGGGCATGTCACCTTCAAATGACATTTCTGTCAATGAATCCAAAATATTTTTATTTCGACATCGATTGGGCTCGGGTGATGGGGTTCGTGACAGATGTCACGCATAATCTACAGGAGGGGGGAAGAGGGCACCATGTGATATATTAACCAGCCCATTTAAAGTGAAAGTATTACCCCTTGCAATGGACGAAGATATTAGCAATGGTATTGTTTGGTAGTAAGACACAAGAACAACATTACCGGTGGGGATGTTACCATGACAATCCCATAGTGGCTTTCCGTGATGCCAATATAATTTTAGTCACTGTTGCGTTTTAAGGGTCAGTGATTACTTAGAAACGTGGCGGTCTGGGCTAGTTGGTATGACATGACGATGTTATAGCGTGAGAACAGAACGACGACAAATGGACGAAAAGAAGACGAGTGCTAAAATCGTCTCCTGCTTGTCCCTTTGTCGTCGTCCTGTTCTCGCGCTATAATTATTGTCATGTCAGTGATTACATTGCAAAGGAATGAGAAATATAGAAACATAACAGTTTTAAGACAATTCCCCTTTAATGGATCACCAAGGTTTCATGAAGTGCAAGAAAATGAAAAAAAAATTGTCATATGACACCTACATAAATCAATCGAATGGTTGATCACTTCTCCGGTCAGTTTTATATGCTGATTTCAGAGAATCGGCATGAACATGCAAATTGCATGGACGCACTGCGGGAAGGAAGGAATACGCCGATTCTTTTTGTTCATTTGTGTGTGCGTGTCTTTTCATGAGTCACCAACCTGTCCAGCTTTTTCTTCTTTCACTCTGTTAAATTCATGGAGATCAAGGCATACTTTGCATCGTTGTTGATGTGTTCTTTGATTGTGTGCTGCCTGTCACGTTGTCTTCAATTCTTCGCCGGCTTCTCCAGAGTTGAAACAGAAGCATACTCTCCGCTTAGTTGTGTCAATGGTCGTCTATACGGAGAGTTTAATAGCCTATAGCTCAACGATCAATTAATTTCTGCCAAATAAATGTGAATGAGAGTTTCTGAAGAGCTGTATACGAAAGCAAACGTAGCGCTCCTCGTTCTTCGCCGACACCCTGGCGCCTATTTGGCTGTGTCCAAAAGACCGTGAAAAGTTCGGTTCGGAGAAAAATTCAACCGCGGAAACCGCAAATCCTTTCTCTAATTGCAAACAGCTCCTTCGACGGCGGGGCGAACTTGTTGCGAGAAAGTGCCGCTCCCTCTTCTGCGGCCTGACCCCACTTATAGATCCCGCGGACGGAACCGGAAAAATTGAACACTGCTGTGGCTGTGCATAGCGTGTGAACTGAAGGCGGGAAAAGGGCGCAAACTTCCTCTTTGGTCACACGAATGTGGCGTGAACAGGCACTTTTACTTCAGGCGCTGGCTTCCTTTGCTTGATTGCAAGGGTAATCCAAAGTCCTTACCGTAAACGAATCGACGAATTTGGAAAGTAGGTGGGTGCACAAAACACATATGCATGGCACTTCAATTAGAGTGATAACGATAGTTATAGCGCGAGAACGGAACGACGACACAGAGACAAGATGGACACGAAGGTCTCTGTGTCGTCGTTCTGTTCTCGCGCTATAGCTATCGTCATGCCATACCAACTAGCCCAAACTGCCCCACTTCTAGAGTGATAACGCCGTGTTCATTCGGCTTGTACTGTCATATGTACTATATATAGGACGAGGCGTATTTTTGGACACGTTCTTCATTATCCGTGCCTTCGAAGCTGGACCTAAACTGACCTCATGAGAAATATAGCCCGTTTCAACAAGGGAGACTTTACTAAACCGCAATGAAGGTGGCGTGTTATACCGCCGGCTGTTCCGCTTGCAATAGTAGACCGCCTGCTTCCGTTCGACGGCACATATCTGGAATTGCACGTACTATCTCTTTCGGATCACACTTAACGCATCTCAGGGCCCTACGCTAACACCAAACCGATGGGTGCATGTTTAAGTGGCGCGGTATTTGATCGGTATGGGAGACGTTATACGAGGGTTTAGGACGAGCGTGTACAAAGTGTTCACGCTTGCACCCAAGTTGGCAGTCGTTGCAGAACGTGGGTAGTAGCCGGGCGGACGGTGTACGGGCCCTTGTGGATTGAAGGGTCGCGTTGTCTGTTCTCTGACAGTGCTTGCAACTCTGCATGCCCGTTCTTGGAAAACCAGAAGGGAGAGAGTTAAAACTGTTCTGCAATACACGGCAAGAATGTCGTGCAGCAAAGTTAGGAGTAATGGTTGCGCAAAACGTCCATTCATTCACACTATCGTTTATAAGAACAATCCCCAATACAAAGGGAGTGAACGAATATTTTCTTCGTTAGATCCAGCATCAATTGTTCAAAAAATGCAAGGGTGTTCAGAAAGGTGTTGAAAAGGCGACTATACTGTGAACGGCGTTCGGCAGTAGAGAAACGTTAGTTATGGAGGGTTTCTTTTTTTGTGTGTCTTGGAGGGTCTCATTTCAAAGTGAGAATTATCAAAACTCTTATTGCAACGAAATGCGCGCTTCATTCGTTCTTACGTCACCACTTGCAGAATTCAATTACCTAATAAAAAGTTATCTCTCTCTGTCATGTCAGTGTCGTCATCATGACACGTGACACCCCATTCCGTCCACACCACATTGCTTCCCGTTGTCATTGTAATGACTATACGCGTATACCCTATGTACATGTGCAGAACATGTTTTTGTCTTCGCGCACGAGGGCTCGCAAGCAACAGGCATACGCCATCGATAACTGTGCCATTGGCACATATAGCCACACAAAAGCTTAAACCATCACCTGCACGTACAACGCATGGCTGTTACCAGTGCATGCAAGGGTTTCTATCCCTTTATATATGTCACTTGTTCGTAAGACCATAGGCAAAGTGCTGCTCTGTTCACTAATGATGCGCCTAAAGTATCCATTACAAAATAGTGACTCTATACATCTTTAGACGGCAGATCAGTCCGCAAATGTGCTCGCGTGTTTCACAGCGACGCGATTCACAGCCGTTTTTTTTTTTTTTTTCCTAGTGGTGTGGTAAATTCTGGCGTACGGTGGCGTATACGCAGCCGCAGAAAAAAAAAAACGCTGAATTTTCGTTTTGAAACGAAACAGACGGCTTCTATAAAATAAGTATTGTCTTACGAGTATCCCTCACAAACAGAAAGCACGCTATTCTAAAATTTCTTAATTCACTAATTTGTAATTTTGGTATCTAATATCGCGTCTCACCCGCTCCACTTTAGATGGGCGACGGAGAGTACGGTTGTTTCTACTGTGAACGTATTCAGCAAACATTTTAAAGGCTGTGTGCTGGTGTATATAGTGGTGCAGCGCTGTATAAGTCGTTGACCACTTCTTTTAAA